GGGGGAGGGGCTTGGCCTCTCGTTTGATAGAAAGGGTTGTTTGATAAAAAGAGTCGTTTGATAAAAAAGAGTTCGGTGTTTGTCGCCTCACAGTGAACAAAGGTTAGAAAAGTACCACTCCACCACCCGAAAATCTTGATCTTTAAGTGAGGACTAACCGCATGGGGGGGCGGTGGGAAAGGTGACTATGGGAGTGTAGCGATGGGACGAGTTTACCCCTCGTTACGTTGATTTCAGGAGAGAGTAAATTTAGATTAGATACTAGAAGAAATTCTTAACTAGGAGGGTGGTGAGGCACTGGGACAGGTTGCCCAGAAAGGCTGTGGAAACCCTCCTCCGGGGAGTGTTCAAGGACAGGTTTGAGCAACCTGCTGTAGTGGGAGGTGTTGCTGCCCATGGGAGCGGGGTTGGAACGAGATGATCTTGAAAGTCCTGTCCGACCCTAGGACATGCTTTCACAGGCTGTGGTCATCCATTTCTCCCCACTGTTGACACAGGCTCCTTGTTTTCTTTAGCAGGAGAGGTGCTGATTTGAGGAGAAGGTTTTTACCCTTTTGCAAAGCAAAAAGGCCCTGGCTGGGACAGGAGCAGTGACAACCGACACAGGGAAGCTGCGGCCAAGAAGCACTGATCAGGAATGGAGCTTTCCTGCAGCTCGTCCCTGGGAGCCCCTCCAGCCTGGGCAGCTAAGCCCATGGCTCCGAGCTAACCACAGTTGCTAACCCAGTGTAGAAGATTCAGCCAGCCTGCGCGCCCTGGCAGCTGCTGGCACAGAGGTGCTGAGCCCACCCCAGACCCACCCTGGCCCATCTCACTGGGAGCAGGAGTAGTTTTCCCCACCGAGTTCCCAACAGCCAGGGGAAGGGGCATGCCAGTGCCAGTGTTTTTATTAAAAGCTGCTTACCTAGTTACTAACAAGAGGGCTTTGAAAGAGCGAGCTCCAAAGGTTAATTGTGGCAGTCATCAGCATGAGTGGGTGACGGGACTGCTCCCTTGTTCCTGGCACAAAAGCCTGCGCCTTTGCTTTTTATTCCTGTCCCATGTTTCTGCCTGTGTTAAATGACCTTCCTCTATTTCTCTTCTCTGTTTCAGTCCCCTCATTTGGAAGCACCTTTTTTTTTAAAAAAAAAATAAATCCAAACTTCCCTTCATTCCATTTTGAACACATGCCTTGGCAAACTGTCTGACTGCAGCAGCAATAGTCTAAATGTGTTGCTGGCCAGGAGACAACCCTGTCCCTTTCCCTGCTCCCCCAAATGCTGGCATAGGGCAATGGCAAAGAGAGCTTGGCTGCTTCCAGCCTCAGCCCTCTGCAGCATTTCTAAGCTGTTTAGCAAGGTTGAAAGGGGTCTGCTGTTAATTTTCTTTCAAATGCTGACACGTGAGCTTTAGTCATTCCCAAGGGAAGCCAGCCTGCTCTCACCCTTGCTACCTGGAGGGAAATACTGCACTTGGTTGAGGCACAGCGAGCTTGAGACTTGAAGAATCCTGAGATGAGACCCTGCGGAGCTGGGAACAGTGAGCAGGGCAAATGATCGGCATCTCCAAAGTGTCC